ATATAACCTGAATAATATAAAAATGTAATTTTTAGTTTAAAATTTTCCAACAGAGAAAATTCCATGTTCAGATGGCTTCATTGGTAATTTCTAACAAAGATTTAATGGAGGGGGAAAACAATTACTTGTAATCTCTTATAGAACATACAAGTAGAAAAATGGGTCAGAAACCTAAATGTAAAATGCAAAAAATATAAAACAACTGGAGAAACAGAATTTTTTTGTGACCATGTGTTAAATAAAGATTTCTTAGATAAAGCACTAAACCAACAGTTCATTTGCCATTTGATCCAGTGATCCTACTTCCGGGAATATATCCTAAGAATCCCAAAACACCAATCAGAAAGAATATATGCACCCCTATGTTCATAGCAGTGCAGTTTACAATAGCAAGGTCTGGAAACAGCCCAAGTGCCCATCAGTAGATGGGTGGATAAAAAAGCTGTGGTACATTTGCACAATGTAATACTATGCAGTTGTAAAAAAGAAGGATTTCTTACCCTTTGCTACAGCATTGATGCACCTGGAGAATATTATGCTAAGTGAGATAAGCCAGTCAGAGAAAGAAAAATATCACATGATCTCTCTTACATGTGGAATCTAATGAACATAATGTACTGATGAACAAAACAGACCCAGAGGTATGGATGTATGAAACAGGCTGACATATCTGGGCAGGGAGAAGAGATGGGAAGAGATTAACCAAAGAACTTATATACATATATGCATAACCCATGGACACAGACAATAGTGTAGTGAAGGCTTGAGGCTGGGTAGGGGCTCAGAGGAAGGGGCCTGAAGGGGAGGAAATGGGGGACTTATGTAATACTGTCAACAATAAAAAAAATAATAAATAAATAAATAAATAAATAAATATTTATCAAAATTAAAAACTTCTCTGTGAAATACAATTTTAATAAAATAAGAAAGCAAACCAAAACCAGGGAGAAAATATTTGCAAATCACATTTCTGATGACATGTATACAGAATATGTAATAAACCCTAACAACTCAATATTACCTAAACAAACAATCTAGTTCAAAAATTTGCAAAATATTTGGACACGTCTACAAAGAAGATATGTGGATTGCAAATAAGCATATTAATAGATGCTCAACATCATTAGTCACTAGGAATGGACAAATTAAAACCATAATAATCATATATAATTACACATGTATTAGAATGGCTAATTTTTTAAAAAATCTGATAAATGGTGGGGAGATTAGAAAACAGAAGCTTTCATGGAATATTAGTGAGAAAAAAATTTGTACTTTTAAACACAAGCTACTTTTGAAAACAGTTTAGCAGTTTCTTATAAAGTTAGGCATATACTTACCATATGACCTAACAATCACACTCCTAAGTATTTAGTCAACAGAAATTAAAACTTATTTTCAGAAAGAAACCTGCAAAGAAATTTTTTTTCAAACATTTGGCTTTATTAATAATAACCAAGAACTTGAAAATGCCCAAATGTCCTTTGATGGATGAATGGATAAACTATGGTACATCCATGCAATGTAATGCTACTCTGAAATAAAAAGGAACAAAGTACTGATACACACAACACAGGTAAATACCAAATGTATTGTGGTTAATGAAAGAAGCTATTTTCAGTAAAATACATATGTATAATTTCATTCATATGGCATTCTATAAAAGTTAAAATTATAAAAACAGATTTAGTGGTTGCCAGAGGCTGGGTAGCCAGAGGGATTGATTATAAAGAAGCAGCATAATGGAATTATTTTGGAGTGATAGAATTGTTTTGAGTTTTTATTGTGGTGATGGTTTTGACTCCTATATATGTCTGTCTTAACTCATAAAAACTATACACCAAAAGAGTGATATTTACTGTATGTAAATTTAAAGATGAATAATAATAATTGATTAAAAGGACAATGTTAATAAAGACATGTTGGCCAAGCTAAAGATACTCAAGGTGTTATATTAACCTTAGCTTAACTCTTTGTAAACAACAACAACAAAATCAATGGCTTAAGCAAACTTCAAATTTTTATTGCTGGAAAGAATGTGTAATATTTGAATTGGTGATGATTTTATGGAATCCCCATTTTTAAAATCAGATTTCCCAAGAATCATTACTTATGAATAAAATATTTTTGTACTTTCCAAATTAGTTAACCAGTTAAGACATTACTAGGGCATTATTAGAGCTGATTTTAAGTATGATACCAGATATATAAGAACAATGTAATATAGAAATGTATCTGATATATTTCCATGTGAAAATATATCCTTAGCTATCAGGAACTTCTAAGGAAGTAGTCATTCCTAGAAACTGTATTTTTCAAGTACTTTCAAAGCAATAAATCTAAAATATGTTACTCATTTCTCTGCATAATTTAATCTTTTCTCAATGGCTTGGGGTCCTCATTAAAACATCAGATTTTAAAGTGAGAACAACCTAACAAATCCCACACCTGAATATGATAAACAAAAGGGCCTAACTATACTTAAAAACATATAAATATGTTACAAGTATAATATGCTTTACAGTTTAAAAAAACTGAGTTTGCATATTCTAAATTACTGGACCAACTCAGACTGGAAAGTAAAACAAGTCATATAATCCAATATTTTATAGATGAGGAAATGGGTGCTCATAGAAATTAAGTGATTTACCCAATATATCACAGTGGAGGCGAGAGTAGGTCACAGGTTGTCTTATTCCTATGGGCTGGCATGTGCTGAGTAGGTGGTGCAATACAAAGACTATTAACCTAGTGAATCTTGGGATAAAGCTAAATGACTTGTTATTTCAGTATTTAATTCCCTAATTCAGTTAGCCTCTCTACCCCAAACCAGCAGACCTCAATTTTCATGAATCCAGTGGATTGTCATTTTATCTACCACATATATAAGAACCCAACTTTTAAAATGAAGGTTTTTACAACACTTTCTGATTTTTGTGCAAATGATTAAAAGCTTTGGTAGTACAGTCATTCAATATTGTTCCACTTAATAAACCAAGATAACTAGGGCCGGTATAGATAATGACAAATTATCTTGCTTATAAGGGTTTTTATATGCTTATTGTGGTAAAGAATGAGCTTGCTATTATTGAAAAACAAAATAGTTGATCTCTTGAGGGAAGTGGCCTTCCTGCTTTTGCTAGTGAATTTAAGGGAAGAATTAAAATGTTCACACCATTGTTAGAGTTGTTGACTCCATAAATCTGTTTAGTACTCGTTACCTATATTTGGCTATTGGTATCAGTGAGAAAAGACGGTCTGTGCTTTTAAAGATTCATATCATATTTCAGTAAGTGTAGCAGTTGTAGCCAGTCAATAGGAAAATATTCCTAGAGGGCAGGTATCACACCGGGGGGTCACCCATATCTTGCACTCTAGGCTTTTTATGGTATTACAGCCCTGCAGAAAAGGATCAGAGCCTTTACCCTGATTATGCAGTAGTAAATTGAAGCTGACTCGACCCGTCAGAACTCATTCCAAAGTTCCTTGCTTCTAAATCCACACCAGATGAAGTTTTTCAGGTATTTGACCTCCATCTTTTGGCTTGGCAAAAGCAACCTCAAATCGCTCTGAAAGCTGGAAGCCATAACAGTAAATATTGCTTAGATGGATACTGTCCTTTGGACCCAACATCTTTGAAAATTGGTGAGATTTCAGCTAAAAGGTTTATATTTCTACATTGGTATACTTGAATGAGATACCTTTCAGAAAATTACTGGAGTTATTTGTTTCTGAATATTCCAGGAAGAAACTCTATTCTCATCTTTCTGGTGCCCTCTCGAATATCTGATTTTCTTTAATCAGATCTCTTGACATTAGATAGGAAGATGGTTTATATGGGCAAGAAAGTCAGGTGTGCAAATGCAAAGGATGGCTATATGACTGTCTTTAATTTCTTTATGAGATGGCTTTACTTAAAATATTCAGAGAAAGGGAAATTAATTACTTTTATGTCAGTGTACTTGTTTTTTTCCATACCCAGTATACTAGAATGATTTCTATTTGGTTTGACTTATAGTGTTGTTTTTGTTGTTTCTGCTATCCTAATTTTGAGAGACACTTTCCTTGGGAAGAGTTTTTTCTGTCTGTCAACTTTTGGCAATAACAATTTCGGTGTAACAATTTATAACAAGAACCTGAAATTGCCTTAATCTAATTATAAGTATTTTTATATAAAATTCATCTTTAAAAAAAAAAGTTTGACCTGCCTTTTATTTGTGGTATTAACAGAGTTGTTTTCCCTTAATATTAAACATGTTACCTACTGAAGGGAGGGATAAAGTGTTTTGTAAATTTCTCTTATCTAATTATGATGGTGTTAATTTAATTAAAAGGTTTATAGTTTTCACTTGGGTTCTTTTTGGTAAAATGTACATGATTTTGAATCTTGATTTGTATGCTATATAGTTATTGAAAATAATTATTTTGGTTACTATTGCCTAAAGCAATTTTCAGTCACTAAACCTTCTTGTTTATTTTCAAGCTTTAAAAAGAGGATTTGTTTTAATATATAAAAAGAACCCCTTACCCCAGAAAAAAAGAAAAATAAAAACACTCTTTTTATTCCAGAGCCCAGCTTCTGGCTATAAGACATATACCAGATGTCTTGCTTGACAAAGGGAACAGTGTGTCCCTGTTAATAATTGACCATGTATGGCTACCACCATCTTTGGCTTTGCTAGCCATAAATATCTATTTCAGTGAAAGAGTCTTTTTTCCCCCATGTACTGACACTACCCAGCTACCTAGATAAAACTTTCCTTTTATTGTCTTTAAAGTTGATATTTTTTCTGGGCAAATTCAATGTATTTGCATAATGTATAATTTTCAGTGAGAATCTGTCTCCCTTTGGCACACAATTTTTTACCCATTACTGGGGATTAATTGACTTTAAAATATCTTGCAGCTTCAAAGCACTGAAATTGTTTTAAAAAAACTTGCAAATTCTACACATACACAATTTTTATTCCAATTTTCAGAGTATCTTCTTTTATTTTTAGATGAATCTACGCTCTGTATTTACTGTAGAACAACAAAGGATTTTACAGCGTTATTATGAAAATGGAATGACAAATCAAAGTAAAAATTGCTTTCAGCTCATATTACAGTGTGCACAGGAGACTAAGCTGGACTTCAGTGTAGTCAGGGTAAGTATTGAGGTCTTACACTCTCGAATTTATAGCTTTTTATTACAAGTGATAATCACAATATGAGAGAAACTATCAGGGTATGAAGTCACTTACTTTATAAACAGCTTCATTTCCTGGTATAAAAATATTATTTTTAAAAAATAAATAAAGCTAATTATTTAGTATATATTTGTTTCTATGAATACCTTGAAAAAAAACTTAAAAAAAAATTGCATTTAAACATATTTTTAAATATCCCAGTCCTTCTAACTAATGAGTACCTTTAAAATTAGTTGTTGATCTTATGCTTTCTTTAAACCCAGAATTAATATAGATATAACCCTACAAAATGATATCAGTAAAACAGGCATTTACCAAGGGACTATTGTGTATCTAGCATATGTTTTTGTATCTAGCATATTTTCAACCATTTTTGACCAGTATTTTTTGTCTTTTTCAGAAAATCTAGACTTTCTTATGAATACTTCCTTCATCTTTTAAGTAAAATGCATGCATTTCAATGGGTTAGCGAGTAAGGGACAGAAAATCACAAGGGGGAAAATTTTTCTTCATCACAATCATAGTTATTCATCTGTAAAAGTCAGAGCTCCCAAACGTTTGTGAAGGCAATGAGAAGGTGATAGAGGGGAGGCAAGAGATAAATCTAACAGCACTAGTCACAGATTTCACTGAGTGCACACAGGCCCTTTCATGTTTGCCTGGACATGCTACAAATCCTCCTGGTGTGAAACCTTCAGGATTTAAATATTAGCAACTTTCCCATCCTTGTCATCATTAGGCTGATTTGGGAAAGAGAAAGGATGTCTCTTTTTTAGATTATTTTACTTTCAGAGGAACTTTCAAAGACCGTAAAGATAAAAATCTCTTGATAAGCAGAATTCTTTGGGAAATCTATTTCTTTTTAAATATATATATATATCCTTCTTGATTTTAGAAAGAGGAAGGGGGAGGAAGAGAGAGAGAAACATCAGTGATGAGAGTCGTTGATCGCCTGCCTCCTGCACGCCCCCTGCTGGGAATCCAGCCTGCAACCCGGGCATGTGCCCTGACTGGGAATTGATGCTCAATCGCTGACCCACGCAGGCTGGGCATGAAATTTATTTCTTAAAAGCTAGATGTATAAGATATATACACCTTCAAACAGGGAATAATGCCAACAATTCTAGGGGTGTGGGAATATCCAGGATATCTGTTACTGATTGGCAGAGATCAACCATCATATTCAAATTTGTGTAAGAACTAGAAATATTTCCTATTGATAGCTTTAAATTCCTTATTTGAATTGCCTTTAGTAAACCTGAGAGAAAAATGTTTAATTGCCTTAGAAAAAATAATATAAAGTGCGTAATATTTCAAATTGATGAGATTTCATAAGTACAATGTCATTCTCCCCTCGCCTGTGGTAACTTTTCTTTCTTCCCCTTTTTTCCCCCTCCATTTTATTTTACCATTGCTTTAAAGTAAAATGCCTTCTCAGGAAGCTGTTTTGTGGACTGTGACCTTTCACATTTCAAATGTATTATTAAATCCTTCCTAATAACTTACTTGACTATACTGCTGTTGAAATACACAGGTTTATATTTATGCTCCAAATGGTGTGAAATATAAAACAATGAGAATAAAAGAAATGAATTCATAGAATGTAAGTTTACAAGTAAGATGTTATGTAAATTATAAGAAATTGTGTCAAACATTCATTCTTTCTGTTATAGGAGAATATAAATTGTACAGAAATTTCGTCTTCCAAATCTAAATTCCAACACAGTTTTGATGGCTTTTCTAGTCAGACAAGAAGGGAGTTCTTTATAGACTCATCATTCCACAACCTTCCCTGCCCCCAGTATTTTGCTTGGTCTATATGTTATTTTGAAATAGAACTTACTTTTCTTGTTTTTAATATAGTGTTTGTTGTGTTTTTCCTCAAAAAAACTTAAATCCCATTTTACTAAACATGATCCTAAGATAAATAGAGCTTAAAAGGTTAAAATATCCATGCAAAAATAAATATATTGAGGTAATGGAACCGGATAAAAAAGAAGGTATAAAAAAAGGAAAAGAAGTTTAGAGAAAACGAATTTCTAAGAGAACTGCAAAGGATTTTATGGACACCGAGGATTGATGACCTAAATATTTTTCTTTCTTGTGTTTTTTTTTTAATTCTTACCGGAGGATATTTTTCTACTGCTTTTCGGAGAGAGTGGAGGGGGGGGGGAGAGAGAGAGAGAGAAAGAGAGAGAGAGAGGGATCTATGTGAGAGAGACACATCAATTGGTTGCCTCCCCACCTGCCCTGATGGGGGCCGGAAATCGAGCCTGCAACCAAGGCATGTGCCCTTGGCAGAAATCGAACCCTGAACCCTTCAATCCACAGGTCAACGCTTTAATTACTGAGCCAAACGGGCTAGGGCCCAAATATTTCTTTTTTCTTTTTTTCTATCTGGTATCACTTTGTTAGTCCAAATCCCAAATTATCATATTGATTTTGTTTGACCTATTTTTTCTCTCTCGCCAATAAGGCATTTGGAAAGAGAAATGATTTATATCTTATAAGCACTGGTAAATTTTGGATTCTGTAACTGAATCACTTTTGAGAAATTTTTTTTCCAGTTATTTAGAACCATCAGACAATGAATTTTCTTATTTTCAACACTTTAAGTGGAAAATATTTTTAGTATATACTTTATTATTTTACTTTAATAGAGAATATTGAAAATAATTAAACCCTTACTTTTTGACTCAGTTTTTTATGGAAATCAATTATTGTATTGTGCTCACATAAACATGGTCCTAAAGTAAATGTTCACAACATGATAAAGTATATGGGGTGACTTTCTCCTTTACTAAAGAACACCAGACTAATGATTCCTTACATCGATTCTGTGTGGGTGTGTATGTGTGTGTTTTCCTTCTTTTTAGTGAGCAATATGCATTTAGTAAACATTCTTAGTTTTGGTGCTAACAAAGTGCCTCTAAAAGCAATCTCAATCACCAAGGCCCCTCATATTTGTTATCCCTAATTTGTTATAGATTAGAAAACGAAGACTGGTAAATTATATATAAACCAAAATAAAGTACATTTTAAGGTCAGAGTCTGCCCTTTTAGTAAAGTACATGGATCTTGTTACATCTGTGTTGGCTGCCTTCTGAGGTTGATAGCTGAGTTTCATATGAACATGATATTCAAATGAATTTTACTTTGTAATGGGTACATAACATAATATAAATACCTAGGGAATTATGTAAATAAATATTTACACTATAGAAGTAAGCCATGAATTAACAATGCACTAAGATCACTCTTAAACTTCTTGTGTTAGTGTAGGTATTCTGGTATTGTGAAAAGAACATGGTAGGCTGTTTATTTGTTTTCTCAGAAATATTGCAGAGCTACCCTTCAGATGTAGTAGGTCTTGAGGTCAAATATTACCAATTCACTATGCTTTCCTGTTTATAGTTTTTAAATGAAATGCTGATATATTTTTATAAAAATTATGCATCATAATCCTTTGCATATTTTTTGTACTTGAAAAGTCATATCACAGTAACTTATTTGGAATATTTGTAAAATTCACCTTTTTGAATCATACATTGAAATTATATTTATCCAAAAACATTTCTTTTTAGATATTTCTCTTGAGTATATACTTTAAAACCTTTTAGAGATTTTCCCAGCTCCTTCTGTGAAATTTATATTCATTGTCCCTCTGTTTTTAATTCTCACTTCTGCTTAGTAAAACTAAATCAGAGTTAATTTAAAATTTCCAAAACTTCATATGAAGCAACATTTTCTGGAACATTTTCTTTATTAGAGAAGTATTAATTACAAAAGTATAAAACAGCCAAGAGAAATGACCATTTCAGGAGTTTCTCACTATAGTGGGGGAAGAATATGCTTTGAGATAAAAAAATTGGTTTCAAATTCTTGTGTCAGGTATCCACAAGCCACTTAACATTTCTAAACCTCAGCTTGTTCACTTAATACAATTTGAAAATAACACCTAACAAAAGAAATAAATATATATAAAAACACATGGTGGGTATTCAATGCATGATAGCTTTTATTTATAGTATTGCAGCAACATTAATATAGTTTATAGTATAAATAAACATTGCAAATTGGATAATTTTGGTGGTCTTCAAAAACATGACACACAAAAGCTAACCAAATACACCTTGCACCATGTCTGTGCAAAGCTAGCTCATTTAATGTTTTCACTTATTTATGTTTTTAAGAATTCTTAGTAGATTAATGTGTTTTGGTAATTTATAATATGGTATATATTTTGAAATAATTATAGAGTTTACTAATCACATTATGGAGTGACATATTTCTTATTGCCCATTTTTAAAAGAATCATGATTCAGCATAATACTAAGATTATTATAATAAATTAATTATATAAAAGTACATATTTTGTAATCAATTCCTAAATGCCAACCACTGGTGTTATTTTTATTAATAATGTATTTTTTGTTGATAAAAGCAATACACATTTATGGAATAAAATTTAATAAGGAAATAAAATTGTAAAGAAGAAAATAACCACCATAAATTAATGACAAACTGAGAAAAATATTTGCAACTTATTACAAAGTGTTGCTATCTTTAGTAGAAAATTGCTCCTATAAATTAATTAAAAAAACAAATACCCAATATAAAAATAAGTAAAGGAAATGGATAAGCAATTCTATCAAAACAATACAGTAACCATAGAAATTCATATCAAAACATCAATTATATACCTTTTATTAACTCCTGGGCTACAAAAAACTACAAAAAGATAATGCAAAGTGCTGGTAAGGGTGTGGAGAAACCAGAACTCTTATAACTACATGGCAGGGTACTTTGAAAATATCAAAAAGCACAGCAAATTTCTTTCTAGAATAACATTCTAAAAGACCAATAGCACAAAGATGCATGTACAATGATGTGTGTTGCAGTATGGTTTATAATAGTGAGTATTTCTAAAAATAATCTAAATACCTAGCAATATTAAATTAACCAAGTTATGAAATATTAATAGAATTTAAATTGTTAAACCTGAAGATTGTAAATATATATTTGTTTAACACTACTATAAGCATTTTCCAATTTCATTAACTACTTTTAGTATGCTTCCAATTTTCACTATTATAAAGAAACATGATGAACATTATTGCATACAAATTTGGTATACATCTATGAGTATTTTAAAGATAAATTCACGCAAGTGGATTTATTGGGTCAAATGATATAAACATTTTTAAGGTTCTTGCTATGGATAAATTAATTGGATAGGTTTTGTGGACAGGAGCAACAGTACAATTTCGTTATCAAAGTTCCTTGATACTTATTAAGTCCCAGTCCCTGATCATTCTTACCTTATTCTTTAGTTATTTTTAATTTTATTATATCCTTTTTTCCTTTAATTTGTATAGGCCTTTGTTTTCTGACAAATAAAAATACAATTTAACACATAAAAATTATTCTATCTTGTTTTTTTTTAAAGAAGTTTTCCATAATATCTTTATTTATTTTTTTTTTATTCTTCCAGACGTGGGTTGGCAATAAGAGGAGAAAAATGAGCAGTAAAAATTCTGAATCAGGAGCAGCAACAACAGGAACTATTTCTGGTACCTCGTTGGCAGCTCCAGACATTACAGTAAGAAATGTGGTTAATATTGCTCGACCCTCAAGCGAACAGTCTTCTTGGTCATCTGCCAATAACGATGTCATTGTAACTGGAATATACAGTCCAGCCAGTTCATTAAGTAGGCAAGGGACAACTAATCATACAAATACACAAATTACGGAAGCACATAAAATCCCCATTCAGAAAACGGCCAGTAAAAATGATACTGAGTTTCAGTTGCACATTCCTGTTCAAAGACAAGTAGCACACTGTAAAAATGCTTCTCTGCTCTTAGGTGAAAAAACAATTATTTTGTCAAGACAGACAAGTGTGCTAAATGCTGGAAACTCGGTATACACAAAGAAAAACTATGGAAGCTCTTCAATGCAAGCCTCTGAGATTATTGTACCTCAAAAGCCATCTGTGTGCCACCGACCTTGCAAAATTGAACCAGTTGGAATTCAAAGGCCATATAAGCCTGCACACACGGGTCTAGCATCACATAACTTATGTGGGCAAAAGCCACCTATTAGAGATCCTTACTGTAGAACACAAAACTTGGAAATCCGTGAAGTATTTTCATTGGCAGTTAGTGATTACCCCCAGAGAATTCTGGGAGGAAATACTCCACAGAAGCCAAGTTCAGCAGAAGGAACTTGTTTGTCCATTGCAATGGAGACTGGAGATGCCGATGATGAATATGCCAGAGAGGAAGAGTTGGCATTGATGGGAGCACAGATACCAAGCTACTCAAGGTTTTATGAAAATTGCAGTTCCCTTAGAGCTGAGAACCAAAGTACAGCTTTGCCAGGACCAGGAAGAAATATGCCAAATTCACAAATGGTGAATATTAGAGACTTGTCAGACAATGTACTGTATCAAAACAGAGACTACCATTTGACGCCACGGACCTCATTACATACATCATCTACTACAATTTACAGTAATACAAATCCATCACGGAGTAATTTTTCTTCACATTTTGCATCATCAAACCAATTGAGGTTATCACAAAACCAAAACAATTACCAGGTAATGTGTAAGTTTGTTTTATAAAGGTTTTAAAAACCATTGTTTGGTATAAAAACTGTGTTGGTATCCACTTAGACTTGAGACCTAGGTCCCTTAACTCAAACTTTGAAGACATTTGAGATTTTTTTGCTTCAAAATGGTGGTCTGGGGTCAACTCTGAAGAATCTTGCATGTTTCTGGTCATGTTTAATGATGGTGAGTTTTTCTTCATGGAATAAAATAATTTTTATAACATGGCAGCTTTATCCAGACATTTAAAATGATTTGATAAGGAAATAGTAACTTTATGGGAAGCAATGCATTTGCCATCACTAAAATAAGACTAACTTGGCTACCTTCATACACTTGAACATAGATTATTCCTATAATGATTTTTACTTCCCATGTGAGGAGATATTACTAGGTGAGCGGTGCTTTACCTGGGTACATTGCCATGGATGTCAATCATTTCTCAAGGTGACGGCTCATTTTTCTAAAAGGAAATGCTTTATCCAAACATTAAGTGGAACATTAATCAAATAGTCTTTTTAAAATGTATATAAGGAAGAGACATATTCAGAGTGAAAATTAAAGCAATTTTGTACCTGTGAAAAAATAAATGTCATTTGTTTAGTTTTCCACATATTTAATTATCTATACATGCTTCAAATATTCTCAAGAGTGAGGTATAAGCCTACCTTAGAACATCCTGTAAAGCCATAGATCTTCTTTGAAAAATCTGTTTCAGATAATCTGAAATAGCAAAGCACAGGTGTTTGCCATTTTTCCTTGATACTAGCTAGACTCTAATTTGTTCAAACACAGTATTTAAGTTTTACCTGAATTTAAGATGTTTCCAGGCTATTCTCAGTTAATACAAGGAATAAACTTACCTTAACTCCTTTCATCTTATAACTCCCTACTTCAAAATGAAAAGCAACAACAGAGTATGAAAACTATCACTCTGGCACCTGGCCCTGACAGACGAGGACTCCATCATCATCATTAGTAGTTATTTCTTATTGAGTCTTCTGATTTTTCTGTATTTGCTTTTTCCTAAAGTATGCTTAAACTAACAATGAATCATACCATAAAGATCCTCCCCAACACTCTCTTTCATTCCCTACTTCTTTTTACTCTTTTACTCCAGTGTTTTTTTTAATAATAGTAATAACAATACATTTAGCATTTGCTGAAAGCTTTACACATGCCAGGCACTATCAGTCACTTTATATACTTGATACCACTTAATCTCCATGGTGATCTAGACATCATGGAGACACTTAATCCATATTTCAATAACTAGTTCAGGATCACACAGCCAGTACATGTCAGAACCAGGATGCAACTCAGAAATATGTCATTTTTTCCCCTGCTTCACCATATACCCTAACAATGTTAAATACATTAGAGTATTTGGAGGTCAGAGAGTACAAATTTTAATTTTTAATAAACTGACTGCTCCCCTAAGGACTACTTAACCTATAGTTATACCTTTTTATAGCCTCTATTTTTCCTTACAGAACTTTTAAAGGGATTTAACTTGTTTCATATAAAAGAACTTTTTAAATGGAATAAAACTCAGCAACCTTTTTAAAAAAGAAATAGTAACCTTTTAAAAGAAAGTAGTCTGCCATAACAATTTAGAACAAGGGCTTAGAGCCCGATATACCTGGGTTCAAATCTAGGCTCTTTCGACTTGTGTGATTTTCGGCAAGTGACATAACCTATCCTTGTGACAGTTTCCTCATTTATGTAACATGGTTAGTAACACCTACTTTTCAGGAATGCTGTACCATGAAATGGCACAATCTGTGGGAGATTCCTTGTATGCTCCTTGGTATATAAATGTTCTTATACTTATAACCTCACAGTTAGAAAGTTAATGAAACTCTGCTAGTTTAGGTCTTCTTTACATTCCATTTCAAGTAACATATTGTAGAGCCCACAAAATCACAATGTAGTTGTGGAAAAATAGCTGTAGTGCTGGCTGAGAGAAGACTGGAGATTAGCTCTCAACTTTACTATCATCTATGGATTAAAAGCCCATGTATTTCTCTTTATATTATACCAGACCTCCTCCAACTTAACTTGGGACAGTATGGTAGAGACTGTTTGCAAAGAACCCTTGGGGCATCATTTGTCCCCCTATCTTTTAATTAGTTGATACTTGGGGAAAACAAAGCAGCCTGGGGAAGTATAGTAAAAGAGGATTAGCATCTTAAGACTATTTGGGTTGCTATGGCAAAAATACCACAGACTAGGTATCTTAAACAACAAACATTTATTTCTCATAGTTTTGGAGGCTAGGAAGCTCAAGATCAAGATGCTGGCAGATTCTGTGTCTGGTGAGATCCTGCTTCCTAATACAGAGAAGGCAATCTTCTCACTGTGTCCTTATATGGCAGGAGTAAGGGAGTCTCTTTTGGAATAGCACTAATCCCATTCCCGAGGGCTGCATTCTTATGATCTAACCACCCCTAAAAGCCCAACCTCAAAATACCATCACATTGGGGATTAGGTTTCAACATGTGAGTTCGGCTGGGACACAAGCATTTAGTCCATGTTAGTTATTCTCCAAGATTTTAATGAAGCTCATTACCAAGCTGTATTTCTGTAGCATCAGGACTTAAAAAAATGGAACCTGTGGCCATATTGACAGCTTTCTAGCTATGAAACTATAAGCAAACAAACAATTCTATTTAGTTTCTGACCCTGGGAATATCTAACAGAGATATATGCCTTGTCTTTGCCTCACACCTTGAATCTTCAAGCTGTTCCTGGAGAATTGTCTAGTTTCAAGCTATCTAGCTGAATGAGTACAAATGGAGGGAACCTTAAAGGATGTTAAAAAGTATAAATCAACTGTTTTGCAGCCACTTGGGAATAGCATAATAAGGGTTAGCTAAGTGGTAGTAAGGAAACTGCCAGGAGGTTACTGTCCCAGGATTCCATAGCCCAGTTATATTTCAAAACCTCTCCAGGCTAGCCTCACTCCTTAGAGGGCATATTGCAACAATATTGGTCTCCAAAGTTCCATTCACTTTTCATATCGTTTAGTCCACTATTTATCATGAGTGTTTTGATGATTAAAGATTAATAATTGATATTCATCTATGTGAAGATATATGAACACTTTGGACGATACGTGCTACAAGATTTTTTGTTGCAATTATCATTGTGGCTTAATAATTAACTGCATTCCCATCCTTCATGAACTTCATAAAGATTTAAGAGTTAATAAAAGTAGAGCACTTTCAGCTTCCTTTAAAAGATACTTTATAGCCCGGCGAGTGTGGCTCAGCGAATGAGCATCTACCTGGGATCCAGGCGATCAGGGTTCGATTCCCGGTCAGGGCAAGTGCCCAGGTTGTGGGCTTGATCCCCAGTTGGGGGCGTGTAGGAGGTAGCCGATCAATGACTCTTTCATCATTGATGTTTCTATCACTCTCTTTTCCTCTCTCTGAAATCAATAAAGATATATTTTTTTAAAAAAGATACTTTATTAGTTCAATGTATGTATCCCTATTAGTGAAAGTGCTTTGGTAGTTCACTCCAACTTTCATCCGTATTTGTGGGTTTGGGTGCATTATTAAAAATTAACATGTAAGTTTAATAGCTGTAGAAACTTTAAACATCAAGGAATTCTAAACCAATAAAATGATAGTTTTCCCTGAGGAAAGTGAAGCTCAGTAATATTCAATGACTGTTAAAATAATTATCAGGCAAATATTCAACTTCAAAAAAGCAACAGTAGGATCACTGGGTCAAAAGGCAGTTCCATTTTTAATTTTTTGAGGAATTTCAATACTGTTTTCCATAGTGGCTGCACCAGTCTACATTCCCACCAGCAGTGTACCAGGGTTCCCCTTTCTCCACATCCTCGCCAGCACTTGTCATTTGTTGATTTGTTGATGGAGCCATTTTGACAGGTGTGAAGTGATACCTCATTGTGGTTTTAATTTGCATCTCTCTGATGATTAGTAATGTTGAGCATTTTTTCATATGTCTCTTGGCCATCTGTATGTCCTCTTTGGAGAAGTATCTATTCAGGTCTTTGCCTGTTTTTCAATTGGATTGTTTGTCTTCCTCTTGTTGGTTTGTATGAGTTTTTTGTACACTTTGGAAATTAGCCCCTTATCAGATATATCCTAAAAATTCTGAAAAACCAGTCAGAAAGAATATATGTACCCCTATGTTCATATCAGCACAATTTACAATAGCTAAGATCCGGAAATAGCCCAAGTGTTCATCAGTAGATGAGTGGATAAAAAAGCTGTGAGACATTTACACCATGAAATACTATGCAGCGGTAAAGAAGAAAGATCTCTTACCCTTTGTGACAGCATGGAGGGACCTAGAGAGTATTACTAAGCGAAATAAGCCAGTCAGAAAAAGACAAATATTACATGATCTCTCGTATATGTGGCATCTAAAGAACAAAATAAACTGATGAACAAAATAGATTCAGTGACATAGAAGCATGGAACAGATTGATGAATCTGAGAGAGAAGGTGGGGGTGGGTGGGGAAAGATTAACCAAAGAATTTATACGCATATATGCATAACCCAGGGACACATACAATAGTGTGGTGAAGGCCTGGATCGGGGAGTGGGTGCTGGTTAGAAGGGGTCAATGGTGTAAAAAGGGGACATTGCAATATTTTCAACAATAAAGATAAATTTTAAAAAAAGTAACAGTAATCTGTATTGAATGGCTGTAGTAAGTAGGGATAATTTTTACAGAATTTTATTGAGATATAATTAACATAGTATAGTATTCACATATTAGAAGTGTGTAATTGGCCAGGTTAGAGTGCCCCGATATGCGAAGATGCAGCTTCTTTGATCCCTGGTCAGGGCACATAAGAGAATCAATGCATAAATAAGTGGGACAAGCTCTCTCTCTCTCTCTCTCTCTCTCTCTCTCTCTCTCTCCCTTCTCTCTTTCCCTTATTCTCTCTCTCTATCCAATCAATAGATAAAAAAGAAGTGTATAATTAAGTATTTTTAATATATTC